TGTCACCAAGTTTTCGAAATATTTGTGCCGAACTCGGCGAGATAACCATCAACTGACCTTGTCCTGGCCGGTCGGCGTGGTCCACCTATGTATTCCTCTGCCGCAAAACTCAGCTCTGGGGCCACCCATGGTATCTCCCAGATCACTCGGATCGGTAGGTCGCCGCCAATCGCCAAGACGTGCCCATTGTAGGCGACAAACGGCGCATGATGCGGCAAATGTGCCGATCGACGGTCCGCGGCGCGCGTGGCACGCGGCGCCCGCAGCCGGGCGACCGTGAATGGTGGGCCGATCATGTCAGAGGACGCTTGTCCTCCAAGTTATCTTTTGGTAGGCGGCACACACCGGCCGGCCAGGCACGTGGGCCGAACGCAGAATATAAAGATTGTGGAAAATGCCGAGGATTTTACACATTTTACCATTTTACATATTTTGGGGAATGGTGAGGGGTTTGATCGCAGGTAGGTATGTGAAAGGTGAGGCGTTTCTGGTTTCGGTTCACCAGCTGCAAATGCTTGAAATGATTTTCGTGTTTGAATTGTGAGTATGCACGTGATGCGCATACTTTTTGTCAGCTGTTAGGGCGTTGTAACATCGATGTTTGCTTTGTCGGTAGGTAGGTGCTCTATACCTACCTAAGCGACTTAGCAGACAATAACAGTACGAATTACGATCGATGCCAGTGTAAAAACAATAGTCGGAATGCATGCTTAAAAATGTTACATGTGTTTGGATGCATCCAACGACAACCGCATTTTCTGGGCATTGTTAGTCCATGCACCTTTGCCTATACACAAGGATGAGGGATGAATATTTATACTACGCAGCCAGTGGTGCCAAGATTGTTCTATTCTAGGAATAAGGGAATTTGACTGACTACGATTTGATGTGGTTATAAGTTATACGTCGAACGACCTTACACGGGTGCCCTCGTATATCTACAGCGGGATCAGTTATGATCTAGCTGCTGCTCGATGTTTCTTTTATGTGCTTATCTTTGGTATTGATACAAGCATGGCTATAGGCATATATCCACTTGGTAACTACACCATTGCACTGTATCGCATAAATATACGTTACATGATGAATCAAGATTCAGCATGCATTCTTTTCGACCATTTTTGTTCAGAATACGTCCCTATCGGACATATCACTAACACCTGAGCAAACACGTTCAAATGTACACATGTGCGCAACTGCAGACATACCAGGTAAGTACATACTTATAACTTAGCTCTTGTAATTACATCGTCTCTGATGCACATTTGCACTTCCCTATTTCCTTATCACATTAGCCCATCGCCTGAGATTCCACCGTCTTGGTCGACTAAAGGGTAGTCGCTTACGAGTATTAGATGTGCGTGTTCGGTGGCTTCACTTAGACGGTGCAGGATGAAGTCAACGGCTTTCCTATAGGAAAGCCGTGTAAATTTCGCCCTGCACTCGGCGAAATTTTGAAGTAGGACAAGATAGCAACGCACCATGGAGACGGAGGTAAGTTTTTATGTCATTAAGCTGCAGAATAACTCTACCTAAGTAAGTAGCAATAATCACCGGTTGATGGAACCGGTTGGTTGAAATGTGAGTTCCTATAGGAAAGCCGTTGACTTCATTTGCCGGAAGTGTGCCCACGTGGGTGCGTGTGGTGTGAGCGGGGAGAGGAACTTATTTGAATTAACGCGCTTTTAATGTCGCCAAACGTTGTTTAAAGTGTAGATTTACTTCAAGTAATAGTGCTTTAACGATAAACTTCAGATATTAGGTATTTGTAGTTTGCTCAACATGCGTACTTAAACAACGAGGCGCCCTGCACTCGGCGAAATTTTGAAGTAGGACAAGATAGCAACGCACCATGGAGACGGAGGTAAGTTTTTATGTCATTAAGCTGCAGAATAACTCTACCTAAGTAAGTAGCAATAATCACCGGTTGATGGAACCGGTTGGTTGAAATGTGAGTTCCTATAGGAAAGCCGTTGACTTCATTTGCCGGAAGTGTGCCCACGTGGGTGCGTGTGGTGTGAGCGGGGAGAGGAACTTATTTGAATTAACGCGCTTTTAATGTCGCCAAACGTTGTTTAAAGTGTAGATTTACTTCAAGTAATAGTGTTTTAACGATAAACTTCAGATATTAGGTATTTGTAGTTTGCTCAACATGCGTACTTAAACAACGAGGCGCCCTGCACTCGGCGAAATTTTGAAGTAGGACAAGATAGCAACGCACCATGGAGACGGAGGTAAGTTTTTATGTCATTAAGCTGCAGAATAACTCTACCTAAGTAAGTAGCAATAATCACCGGTTGATGGAACCGGTTGGTTGAAATGTGAGTAATTCCTTACGGTGAATGGAGTCACGGACCCATGAGCCTTACGATAAGTTTTCGTTAGATTTCGCCATACATTTCGTGCCCAAATGTTTTGGAATTTATTGTTGCATATAAAATAAAGAATGACATGCATGTATTGTTAATTTGCGTCACGTGGTTAACAACTGCAATTATGACTCTGTTGGAGAGTGTATTTTGATCCCATAAGGTGTATGATTCCGAGAATCATTTGACAATATCTGGTATAAAGACTGATTGAAAAGAAGACGTCATCGTCAATAGATAAAATTGTAGCTGGAAGGGTGAAGACACATGTAAGCTACATTTAAAGTCTCGTTGCAGTCTGGCTAATCGTTCCTATAAGCTTCAGAAGCAGAACATACCCATGGGTATGTTGGTTAGTTGTACCATGCATACTATTGGTCTCAAGATAAGGGCCCAGGCGACCTGTTTTTCTGATGCGATAAATATACCCTTTATACCCTCGCCGCTGCTCGGTTCGAGTGCATCCCTCACCCCTGCACACAACCCAATCCCCACACTCGAATATTACCGGTATTTAATATATACACTGAAAAAAATAATGACACCTAAAAGGAGTGTTTTTTGAAGCGTACCAAAAACGCGCAGTTTTCTGGAGTCCGATTACACCCGGAATCAGACACTTTCTAGGGTATTATGACACTGGTTGAGGGTGTATTTTTACACCGTACGTCGTCAAATGATTCCCGGAATCATACGCCTTATGGAATAAAAATACACCCCAAATCAGAGTCATAATACTCTAGGAAGTGTCTGAAGTGTCTGATTCCGGGTGTAATCTGACTCCTGGAAACTGCGCGTTTTTGGTACGCTTCAAAAAACACCCCTTTTAGGTGTCACTTCAGGGAGTAATCGGATCTTGAGGGTGTATTTTGATCCCACACGGTGTATGATTCCGGGAATAATTTGACGACATGTGGTATAAAATACACCCCAAATCAGAGTCATAATACTCTAGGAAGTGTCTGAAGTGTCTGATTCCGGGTGTAATCTGACTCCTGGAAACTGCGCGTTTTTGGTACGCTTCAAAAAACACCCCTTTTAGGTGTCACTTCAGGGAGTAATCGGATCTTGAGGGTGTATTTTGATCCCACACGGTGTATGATTCCGGGAATCATTTGACGACATGTAGTATAAAATACACCCCAAATCAGAGTCATAATACTCTAGGAAGTGTCTGATTCCGGGTGTAATCTGACTCCTGGAAACTGCGCGTTTTTGGTACGCTTCAAAAAACACCCCTCGTAGGTGTCACCTCGACGGTGTCAAATGACTCTTGGGATGGTTTTTCTATACCGGTGCAGAGCCTGTTCCTGTTAGCGTCATACATCAGCGATGTTCTGCTTCTGAAGCTTATAGGAACGATTAGCCAGACTGCAACGAGACTTTAAATGTAGCTTACATGTGTCTTCACCCTTGCAGCTACAATTTTATCTATTGACGATGGCGTCTTCTTTTCAATCAGTCTTTATACCAGATATTGTCAAATGATTCTCGGAATCATACACCTGATGGGATCAAAATACACTCTCCAACAGAGTCATAATTGCAGTTGTTAACCACGTGACGCAAATTAACAATACATGCATGTCATTCTTTATTTTATATGCAACAATAAATTCCAAAACATTTGGGCACGAAATGTATGGCGAAATCTAATGAAAACTTATCGTAAGGCTCATGGGTCCGTGACACGGTAACTCCATTCACCGTAAGGAATTACTCACATTTCAACAAGTTCCATCAACCGGTGATTATTGCTACTTACTTAGGTAGAGTTATTCTGCAGCTTAATGACATAAAAACTTACCTCCGTCTCCATGGTGCGTTGCTATCTTGTCCTACTTCAAAATTTCGCCGAGCGCAGGGCGCCTCGTTGTTTAAATACGCATGCTGAGCAAACTACAAATAATATCTGAAGTTTATCGTTAAAGCACTATTACTTGAAGTAAATCTACACTTTAAACAACGTTTGGCGACATTAAAAGCGCGTTAATTCAAATAAGTTCCTCTCCCCGCTCACACCACACGCACCCACGTGGGCACACTTCCGGCAACTGAAGTCAACGGCTTTCCTAACGGTTTTCCTGCAAGGTCGAGTTATTTCATCTTCGTGGCGGACCGGCATGGCTTGAACACAAATGACGTCACACGACAATGCAGCTTGCTGATTGGCCGGGCATTGACTCAAACCACTGGACCTGAGCTGTGGTTCGCACCTGGGTTACAGAGTCAGAGTCAGAGTCGGGTGGAGTTGACAGTTGTGGCCGGAGTCAGAGTCGGAGTCGACGGCGACTTTGGAAGCCGGAGCTGGAGTCGGAGTCTGGGTCACCGAAAATCAATTGATACCGCAGCGTATCCGGACAAATCTTTGCATGGCATTTCTTCGTCGCGCAATTCTTCGTCCGCAAAACTTCGTCCGCTCATTTCTCGCCGTACGGTATAAAAATACGCCCTCAACCAGTGTCATAATACCCTAGAAAGTGTCTGATTCCGGGTGTAATCGGACTCCAGAAAACTGCGCGTTTTTGGTACGCTTCAAAAAACACCCCTTTTAGGTGTCATTATTTTTTTCAGTGTGGTTATTCAGGTGTCTCCCAGAATAACTGAGCTAGATAACTTTATATACAAATGTTCCTATATAATACATGTATTGCTATCATTAAATATTTTCACATTAGCATAAGAACGCTTGACACAATATCTATTTCATTCCTTGCATAGAGCTAGCTAAATGATTGCTTAACTTAGCCGTAGAGTAACATAATCAATTATGCAACTGTCAATACAAAATGCTATATTGAACAAATCTAATTAACATTGTGCTTGACGTTCAGGTGAAGACGAAAATGAATTATATCTTTTCTTACACGATAACACACATGTCCTGGAAGACCACCGTATCATGCAGCTACCCTCTTGTTCTGACGACAGTCACATTCAGCGTTGACTAGAGCCGCGGTGGCCTCCTCACAAACTCCCCGTATGAGACATGACCCGCCCTGAAACAGACCGAAGTTATCAGTTTTATGGCAAACATGGTTATTGGTTAATGCGGACAGCTATTTTATTCAATGTGAATAAAGCGCATTGGCGTGATTTTCATTTATATGAAGCCGAAGGCTAACTATGGTAAGTTTTTATTTATAAAAAATATGAATCTATTTTTGAAGAATACCATGCATTTTTATGCTAGGTTTAGTGAAATGCTGGTGTTCATTGCAAATGAATTAATGTTTAAAACCACAAATCATCTGAAAATGTCTCTGAAGTTTGGGTTGATAGTTTTGAAAAGATGCAATATGCATTTCTGATGTTTATACGGGAACGACCAGCGTAAGATCATCTGAAAATGTCTCTGAAGTTTGGGTTGATAGTTTTGAAAAGATGCAATATGCATTTCTGATGTTTATACGGGAACGACCAGCGTAAGATACCAACCATGAAGCAATTCAGTGGTGGACCCGGCATAGCTATTCAAGTGTTTAGGAATAGGCACATAGCTAACCTCGGAGGACCAGCGCGTCTAGGTGGGAAGTCGTAGACTGATTCCGAGACTCCAGAGCAAACAGAGGCCCGTCAGGAGCACGAGGGGAGATACCGCACTGGACGAACCTGTAGGGTACGCAGCGAGCCGTCAACATGGGAGGGATGCAACTATGGCTTTGCTTGCGTGAATGAACCAACAAATAAATCATTTCTGAATTAAAGAATTGTGGACTCAGTGGCATCAGTGGATCAGGACTCAGTGGCTGATGCGCTTTAGCAAATGGTTCATAAGAAAATCATGTTTTATTAAAAAATATATGCGATGTATAAATCAAAGTAACAAAGGCCATATCTATGACAATCAGTAAGTAAATACTTGACTATCTTGTGTCTCAAGCACATGCAACTTACCACTTAGACTGTATCTGCCTGGTTCTGAAAAGAAATAAAAATGATTAAATATTTGCCGTCATTTATAATGGTCATCATTTGTTTCCGTCTTTGGGGAATCAAGCCTCGTAAGATAATCTGGAGGAAACGTTTTCCAACATTATTTAGGTGGTTTTTAACGTACCTAAGCAGCGCCCTTCAACAATTGACACATTAAGAATGATAAAATGCATCGTGGCAGCGGCGAGGCTCTCTGCACGTGCACAACCAGTCCATATCTTTTGAACAGGATTGAAATTAATTGGTCCTGTCCTATCATAGCTTATCTACCCATCAACACTGAAGGTCGAAGTTCCGCGCCACTGATGCACGTGCACGCGTCGAGAAACAGACATGCACTGTGCAGAGTGCGCGCACGTGCGGAGCAGTGCGTCTTTGCGCGATGCTGACCACGCCCCACTTGCCTGGTGCCGATGGTGCTCCGCGAACTGAGGCCAGCGACTGGGGTGCAGTGCCTGTGTGCACAGAGAAACAACACCAACGCGACCAGTGAGCTTTTTGCGCACGCGCCAGGCTGGGATGGTGCGGCGGCGGGCGCGCGCGGCTAGCCGCGACCGCTCCAGTTCATTAGACCGGTGCACAAGAAAGCCTGTCGCGGTGGCTGAGAGCATTCCGCTGTGATTGGTGCAGAGTAATTAAGATGGGTGATGAGACACGCGGTGTGAGATGCAGTGATGAGACACTGGGAGAGGGGTATTGGGCCGGAATGACCGTGACATGAAGCGCTAGCAAAAAGTGATCGAGCTCATGCAAGTGTGCGTGCTTTCTCTGCGTTTTCTCGCCATTGAATGGTGATGTTATATCTTCTTGAACCAGGTCATACTCAAACAAATTCTCCTACAAGTTTTAGGCTAATAAAAAGATAACCTTAGGATCTGGCAGCAAGACAAAAAAAACGACAGCTTTAAACTTCAAAGATTCAAGCTTAATTTAAGTAAAGTTAAAGCCACCACGACCACGGCGCGACGGTGCCCTTCTGTCGTGGGTCCCGGTGCTCCTATTCTGAGGTTAGCGAAATTGCAATGCCCTCTCCCCTGAGGTCAGTACCCGGTGCACCTGTCTCTACATTCCATCGTGTTGGTTAGTGACCGCAATTGGGACCACCAGCGCCCCTCGGAACCCGCTGCACCGGTGTGGGAACCCCGGTCAGTGCCTGAAATCGTGGCTCCCAGGGACAGGGAGAGTGCTGCAACGGACTGACATGACTGCCGCGTAGCTGGGAGAGGAAAGGTGACTGTCACCGGACCGAATCCTAGCTGGGTTGGGAGGTGGAAGCCGTGGCTGAAGGCGAAGGACTGCGAGCAACCCTGATATCGGCCAACCACCTCGAAAAAGGGAACAAAATACTGCGCGAATACATCATTGAATGTCCCTTGCCCCTACTGTCCTGTGATTTGATCCATTTTATCATGACATATTCTATTCTACATATTCATCATCATTTATCCTACAGGATAAACAAATTCAGAATGTCCTTCGTCGCCTCTCTTCCCGGTACCAACCACGCACATCTCCGCGCTGCCGGCCTCTCGTGACCCGTCACGTTGGCCCCGCTCTGATGGCGTTGATCTGTCCCGTATCTCGTGACGATCGGCGCGCCCCGCCCCTCTGAGCGCACATCGGACGTGCGACAGGACATTTGACCTCAGTGGCCCGCGTGCGGCCGAGCCAGTGACCTTGGTCGGCGTGATTCAGTGCGGATCGCGGACTCCGCCCTCTCACAGCGGGATTTAATTGTGCACGTCAGCCGAACGGTGTAGCGGTGTCACTACGCTGCCCGGTATGGGTCTGTGGTGCTATGCGCATCGCCTTTTGTGATGGTGTTTAGGCTCTGTAGGCAATTAGTCGAATGGGCGCAAACTTTTGTGATAATCGTGGTGTGCCGTGATGTTGTAATTAGCATCGCAATGTTAGCTACACATACCGTTTTTATGCACGTGTAAATGAAAACTACCTGATGATGTGCATATTGCTGTGTTTATTAGATAAGGGTCACATGTTAAACCTTATGTTTAGTGTAAAACAGCAAATTGATCAAAGGAAATCCATTTTTGCAGTAATAGGAAGTAACAAACGCAGTCTGTTTATGCTTGTTTACACAACCTAATATTTGTCGCAGCTGACCATGACTAATCGGACACTTCCTTAAGCTTATGTGATTTCCCTTAACCTTTCCTTCTAAGCTCAGGTAAATGACGGCCCGCACCGTCTATACCGTCAACCGTGTTCTGTGTTGTGTACACCCACCGTGGAAGTACATGATCCTCCTGCTGCGCCGGTAGTCGGTGTCGGGCAGCGTGAGCACGCACTCGATGACCGCCTCCGGGGGCAAGTGCCGGTCCTCCTCGAGTTTCTGCACGCGCACCGTGTACGCGCCGTCCTTCCACGACTTCTCCACGCGCAGACCGCGCATCCGCCGCCTGAAAGAGCGATAGAGGAGGAGTCAAGTGGTGGGCGAATAGGAAGAGGGGTGAACGTGATTGGTGGTTGAACCAATGAAGTCACCTACGAATCTCGGCAATGCCAATGTACATATATGAGCCAAGATAGAGCTGATTGAAAGGAGCAAAGTTTGTGACTGAACATAAATGCTGTTATTAGACTAGGACTTGGAAAGTGAAGCTTGAACGTTTTATATTGAAACCTGACGTTATTTCTTAACAAAAACGTCTTTGTCATTATCAGTTATGTTTTTATCCCTTATCATTTTTCCTGCGACTATGCTTTCTCCTGTCCCATCATCCTTCCTCTGCCTATCGTCGCCCATCTGTTTCTCCGTTCGCCATTCCGTGATAAATCTGGAGAAATGGGCGGCTTGTGCCAGCGCGTTCCACAAAACACAGCAATCATCTCGATAAGGCCGCCGTCGGCCAGCGGCTCATCATCGTGGTCACGCAGTGATATTAACGACTGATGCTCTAGCTTCTTCCACTTTCTCTGCGCGTTTCCTCGGGACATGACTAAGCGTGTCTGTAGATCGCGCCCTCATGATGAAAGTGTTTCAATTAACCTAACGCATTTCCGGAATGCGTACATCAATTTAAACATCCAAAGGAGCATAGGACCACTCAAATTTAGATGACGGGCATTGCTCAATTTGTAAATACCACAGCACTGGCGGAAAAACTCAGGCCATGTCCCAACGATGAGCATTTCACGTTGCGTCAGCAGCCTACGCGTCAAACGACATTCAAAGCCGAGTGGACGCCCTGTCACATCTCTGACCTTAACAAGACCGCATAGGTCACCACACGGCCAAACACGGCGGCTTCGTCCTTGCGTCAGGAGCAGGTCACCGGTGTTACTCCACAGTAGGTGGGAGGCGCGAGCTGCGGCGCTTTCGTGCGGCGTGAAATTATTCGGAATCGGCCACCCGAAGCCTCAAATCACCTGGCCAGCGATCAGACGGGTCATTAAAAAGCGCTGATGTCCCATCCTGAAGAGCTGCTTCCAGAGGCGTCTCGGTTTGCCCAAGGGTGTGTGACATCACCTGTCTTATTTGGCACACAAGGCGTCAAAGAGCTCAGGGCTTCTGTGCTGACGCTAATCCCCAGCGCTAGACTGCTTTACATGTTACAAGAGAGCGATTTTGTATTTGGACATTGTTGGATTGCTTTGGCCCGTTGTGATCTCAGCGGCTCGGCTCAGTTCCCGTCGCTCCCGGACCCCGCGGGGGATTACGGCGATGACCGGGCATTACCAACTTGTAATTGTCTTACATTGCTCTAGCATCCGCTTACAGTTGAGTTCCATTGCATTTACGTTTAATGTAATCAGCGTCGGCGGTGCGAAGGCGCGCAAGCTGACACTGACTTGGATAAACATGCATTATTCAAGTTTCCTGCAGGATCTAAAACATCACATACTGCGATCATAAACCGGCAGTTGACCCTCAAGGACGCCTTTGAATTCTTAAAACTTGTCCGGAATAATACCTTCCTTCTCCGCGGAAAAACGGTTCCTAAGCTGTCAAAAGCCTTCCGCTCCGTCTGCGGCCGGCTCCCGCTAATATTGGATCTCTGTCGCCTTCGGACACATCCCATCTCCGGAGGGGCGAAATTAATCCCATCGCCGACCTCTTCACCGAGAATCCCGCTGTCCGGAGATTCGTGAGCTTCCTCACCACCGCACGTGCGCCCGAGGACGTGTCAGACGGGCCGATCGGTATCAAATCGAGGCGACAAGCGCGACCGGAGAGCTGACACGGCTCCCCTTTTTCGGCGCCTAGTATCAGGGTGAACATCGGGTAATTACGCGAGCGGCACCCTGGGCTGCCGGACCCCCGCCGGAGAGCGCCCGATGAAAGGCCGAGTGGCGCTGATGAACGCTGATGAGGCGCGCGCTGATGCCTCGCGGTGCTGACGGCGAGCTGACGAGACGGCTCGACCGCCAACTGAGCACTCTTGTGGTTCTTGTCGGTGACACCGATATACAAAGGAGAGCCTGAATTTACCAAGTGTGAGATCAGGCTGGGCTGGCATTGACGCCCGAGATTATCCAATGCAGCTAGCATTAGCAACAAGAAGACCAAATCAGCTCTGATTAGCTAGGTAGCTACGCACATCTTGGAGAACCTTTTTTTCGAACAAGATGAAACGACCGATCAATTTGAAGCTTCCTTGTCCTCAGAAGAAGGCACGATAAAATCGTAACTCTTCGTCATTCGGTATGCTTCACAACCTTGCTACCAGCAAAACGTGTCAGTGATTAGTCTCTGACCGCTTCCACAAGTCTTATCATCAATATACACTCAGCGAATAAGGTCATACAACGTCAGCGCTGCTGCTAGACATAACTGCACACGCGCCGAGGGGTGTAAGCCTTTTTTAACCTCTCAGCAGGACTTGCAATAAGCCGTTCACCACGCACGCCCGTTTTCTAATTACCAACCATTAATTGGCTAGGGGCAGCGCTTAAGCCGGGCTGACCTGTTGCTTTGTGAGCTTCCTACGAAGATGTCGACCACGGGCTCGGGGTAGACTCCGTTCACCAGGCACGTGATGTTCACCTGGTGTTGCGCCGGCTTGGTGCTGGTGAGGTTCATCCACTGGGCCGGCGCTGGAGGGTGAGGGAGGAGAGGTCATGTGAGGTCACACGGGTCACCGGGTTACGGTGGGTCGTCATTTAGCGCGAAAGTTGGCGAGGTGTTTGTTGATTGGCGAGCATTTTGTTAGCCATCTGCCTAGTTAGCATACGTTGTATGCTGATGAGCGAAGGTGCAGACAGGGTGTGCGGTGCGTGATGATTGGCATGATTCCCATGGCTTGGATGCGACAAAAAGGAAGACGTTGATGGGAGGTGGTCATGGTTAAATAGCAAGGCATAAAACATTCATGTTTGTGGCATTCGATTTCATACTCATTTTTTTAAATCTTAGCGGGGAGTTTGAACCTTCTCAAGTGAAGCTCAGCGTAAGGTATAGGTATCACAGCGTCCCATGTCTTTGAAAAGTTAGATACCCGGTCCCCGGAATTTATCGCCTTCTCGTCGAGAGTTTGTGTGATATTTCACGGACTTAAGCATCAAAGCATGAGCGTTCTTATATCCATATGTCTTATCGCAGCGTAAATGAATGAGAAACAAATGTCATGATTTGATGTGAAATTGGTTTATATGTTATACGTGCTTGGACTTACTATATACTAAGTCGGTAAGTTCAAGAGGCAAAATGTTCCGAGTTTATGTTCATTTTTATGACTAATCAAACGGTGGAAATATCATGTGAATATTCGGACATAAATCTCATTTTGAGATCATGAGTTGCCTAATGATAAAAAATGTTTTATGAAGTCTCATTTTTACATTTACTACATCAAAGGCTGACGACATAAAATATGCATGGTGGAGATGCGATAGTAGATGACTGAAAATTAAAGCACGTTTGTGTTACCCGTGACTGCTCACGACAATATGCACACCATTCTCTCACGGATTGATACTGGCCACTCACGCTGCTTTATCGTCAACCGTGTAGAATATTTACTAATTGATACCTATCTGCAGGCTGCAAAGGATTTCGACAACTTATTTGCGGCATCTAAGTCACCTGTGAGAAACAATGCTGTAACTATTCAGCCCGCAGCCTCTACCACTGGTCCCGTCTCTTGCACAATGCCAATCACACCGCACATTTCTCTGCTCGAACGGGGGTATAGCCCCAGGCTGACCGTAGATGATCATTTTCTTGGTGGCTGAGTCGACCCCTCTCCAGGTAGTGACCCGACAGGTGTAGTCACCGGACATTTGGGTCGTCGGACGCACTATCTGCACGGCGCGGTGCACCTGGCGGAGTGGACAGAAAAATGACGACGCATGATCAATATGCTCAACGGTGTCAACTCCTTGTATTTTTACAAGATTCGTAGGTATGTAGGCAAGCTTCTTCACCATTATAAAACTTCCCCCATTCCTCTCACCTTGAGCGGGTCATCGCTGACGACATGGCGCAGGTTGACGTGCCCTCGGAGCGCGCCGAACGCCTGCGGCCGGTGGCCGGGGATCCACTGGTAGACGGGCGCCGGGCTGCGGTCGCGGTACCACTTGACCACCAGGCCGGCGGCGGTCCGGTCGGCCGTCTCCAGCTCGTAGTCACAGTCGAGTACCACGCTGGGTAGGGAGCCGTTCAACACCACGGCCGGCATACGCACCCGCGAGATGTGCACGTCCGAGTAACCTGCGGACGACAGGGGGATGGAATCATGGCAGCTGATGATACTCTGGTAGAGATCGTCAAAACAAAACTCATGGATGAGATTAGTCCAAAAGCAAATTAGTGTAATTGTTTTTTGAAATCACGAACAGTTTTGTTCAGATGTATTTATCAATGTCTTACCCAAGCTTTTTACTCTTATATCAACCAAATATGAGAATAGACGCATTGTTTGCTGTAAGAAGCGCGACATGGATTTCATATGTCATAAAATAAATTAATAAAATGCATAAATTTCATATATTTCATAAAATGCATTTCGACTGCCCGGGGAGCGCACAGTAGGCATATATGCCTCTCGACTGCCTGGGGAGTAGTGAGGAGAAGAAGTGGTGGTGGGTAGGCGGTGTCTGATGACTTTGTTTACCGCACGGTTTGACGACTGAAATCATTATCCCCATCACTGATCACACTCGCGGAGAGGGGAAATGAAGGCCTTTGTTTTTGGCCAGCACCACCGGTAATGGCTTCATGGTTGAAATTACATAATCGTCTTTGTCTGTCACACCATCCCCTGTGATAACGTTCCAAAGTCAATAAGAACAACAACAAGGAACATTGGAAAAATAATGCTACTGTCCCTTTGTAGGGAGTGTGTCCCAGCTTCCAATAACTATACTCATATTTGGCCGGCATCGAAAGTGTTTTAGTACTTTAAAGGTCACGCATTCTAAATCCTTCGTATAGAAGGCCGCTTTGCTATCCAGTTAATCATGATTTAGACTTACTCCTTACTTAAGACTGAAAATGCAAAAGTTCCCCGGGCCACGTTGAGCTTATATATCGTTATCGCCGCGGAGCTTCTGCACCGAGTGAACCCTATCTGCTCAGTGCTGACAGCTCGCGTCAAATATATCGGCACACTGTGTGTTATCTCGAAGTATATGGTCCGGAGCGACCTCGTTAGCGGATGATTACTGGAAATTCGGCTTGCTGATATCCCATTCAGCCATCGAGTTTTCTATTTAAGTCAATCTCTGCGCGATCGAGGAAGGTAGTTTTATTATCCAGATTGCTTTCGGGAAATCACTGCTGCCATTCCCGAAGAGCAATGCGGCTGTTAATTAGCTGCAGTTTGAGGGCATGTTGTCAGTTTTCAGCAGATATTGGAACGATTTAGGGGTGATTTCAAGGCTGATGATCTGGACGGCGCATGTATCAAGTATATGCTGAAAGTCATTGCGAAGTCCACCGTCCTCTTTTATGCCTGAAACAGTTCGCTTATTTTCAATTAATGAGAGCATAATTCACCGCCTCATAGATAATCAGTTAAAACCTCGCTCGTTTGCCACTAGCTTATCTCGTATCTTATTCAATGAGCCTCATCAATTCAAGTTACTCCTTTTCGTTCATTCATCTCCCTTGTCATTTATTTTATAGCTGACCATGCCTTGAAACTGTCTGAGACCCTCGATTCGATACCAACTAGATATAGATAGCCCCGGGACTGGCCACTGGCACAGACCCCCATTTAACTATTTTAGTATTTTATGTCAATCCCTACCAAAGCTAACCAGCTGCCATTAGCTCTGGTCAGTGGTCTACTTCTATTACCGATGCCAGCAGGGGCGGTCACATGACTCACCAAGTTCACCGCCCACCCTCAGCCGGCGGTCGGCACTTTGGCTAAACACTCCACGCGGCGCTGTTTCAGATCTACCCCTCCCCGTGTACCCCGCTGCTCGCCGGGGCCATGCATCCTCCACCTAATCTGGCTAATTAGACACTCCAGAGTGATTGCCGCCGTCTGCGGTGACGACAATGGCGCTCGGCGCCGTTTGTGGTGCGTCTGCGGCAATTGTGGCGCATGCGGCGCGGCCTGCGCGCCACCCTCAGCCCTCAGCTCGGCGCCCTGCGAGCGGTGTGCGGACGATAATCAGAGGGTGGAATTATGCAGAGCAGACGCACCCCAAGGGGACGTTCAGAGGCGATTATCTCATAACTCGGAAGGCGGTATGGTACGCAGCGCCGCGGCGGTAGCTCTGAGGACCGAGGGGGCGGCGGGTCGGAGGCTGGGGTCGCCAGTAGGGACGGGCTGGGGTCGCCAGCGGAGAGGGCAGGGGTCGCCGGCGAAGAGAGCTGGGGTCGTCAACGGAGACGGGCTGGAAAGAGCAGTGGTGACAGATGGACGTCAAATGTGGCATTGCGGGCGTCTAAGCCGCCGTCACTCCTGACACAATGTAAACACAGATCTTTTCTCCCGAAGAGATCAGCCCACATTGTGACGTATTGTTGTTGATTTCGGTCGACAGATGATTATCTGGTCCACCGGTTTTTATTGGCGTGACTTTCCTCACGCCCCAGCTTACGCCCAGATTTTCTGCTTGGTCGCGTGACAAAACGCTAACGGCGTAATCTTTGTGACAGGAAGACAGACATGTCTGAATGGCATAAACAGCGAGCTCGATGTACCTTAAATGTAAACACTCTTTAACATAGAACGGCGTGTAGCCTGCTTACGATGCCATCGTTCCTAACTTATGCGAAATGCCGCTGGGTGTGATATGTAGATAGAGGCAGTTGGTAAACGTGCAGTGCTGTAGCGCAGAAGAAGCACTGGGTTTGGCCGGCCCGGATGAAAGAAGCCGCCCACTTGGGCGGAGTCGACTGAATGCCAAATGATAAAAACTTGACTCTTATAAAATGCTAGAGCTAGTTAATGGTAAAACAGTCACGCTATAATGCTAATGATGGTTATTATCTAACGTAATGATGATTCGTGGTGTCACACATTACAGTGTATGCGGAATTCTTGGGCAAAGTTATGTAAACGAAAATTGCACCCTTCGCCATATCATGAAATATTTTTGATAAAAGTGCATCTCGTCAACTACACTCATGACCTGTGTCTTAGCTGCTAGTCTCTAAAGTTTGGTGACCCAAGGTGGATGATGTGGTGACATTGCTACCCAGCTAGTATAACGGTTGCATGGACAATTCATGTAATGCTAATGCATGGGATGTATCGTACCGTATTATTGATGGCTTGATTTATCAAATGGCACACAAAGCGTGTCCCGATGTCATACTGTGTTGAAGCCACTTTGCGTGCCGTAACTCCAACTCTACGAAAACCTGCCCCTCCGAGTCCACCTTCGGCTTCAGTTACCGTGTGGTATTCGGTACTCGTAGGAGGCGTCACCTGAGGTAAAAACCGCCCGTCACGGGGTGTGCTCCCGAGTGGCGGTGCTGGATGTCGTGGGGGGGGGGGGGGCTGGGTTTGCTTGCTAGTTGCTAGTTTGGGGTCACTGGATTCTTGGGTCTAAGGTTGCTGGTAGAAAGTGGTGTGTTTGGTGTCAGACACGTACAAGTAGTGGATATTGCATGCAAGGGATGCAAATAATAAAACTCTTGACAAAAATAGTGGGTAACAAAACGGTCGCTATAACAATGTTGTTTCGCAAATCGCAAGTTCAATTTGGCTCTTCTAAATCAAGTTCTTATCATAATTATACCTGCCTTTTAATGTGAGAGTGTGTGGCTGTTACGAGATTCAGCTAATCGTCTCATAGTTCGCAGTTCGCACCTTCCCATGGCGAAACCTGTCGATTAGGAGCTCTGAAGAGGGTGATGTAAGCAAATTGACCTAATGACAGGCATTTCGTTGTTGGTTAGATTTTATCTCGCTACTTTTACGTGGAGCTAAACGCTCTCCATCTCTTCATACAGCAGGTCCGCTCTTTCAACATCGGTCTTTGGCTGCTAATCTTGCATTTAGACGGCGACAAAATAGTGTTCACATTTGCAGATTCCATTTTATCCTAATTTGTCTCTTCTCCACATTCTGTCGACGATGTAAAAGTTCGGTATACACGACGTATTGCAACATTAACTATATCGGCGCTGTCTACATAGGGGAGAGTGGGGTAATTTGGCCGCTTTTTTTAGAAAACGATGTAACTTAAAATTGACGACACATTTCTGCATTTTCTCAACGCTGGCAAGTGTCGCATTCATTTTACTTTACTGGACAGTGAACTTGAAATGATAGAGTAATTACTTATATTGAAATTGTGACGTATTACAAAGGTCTGCAAGGCGGCCAAATTGCCCCACTAGCAGGGTTATTTGGCCGGGGGTGTGGGGCAATTTGTCCGGTGTTAGTTTGCGGTCGGGATTTTCTGTTATATTGCGAGTCAGCTTCAGATTCAGCAATGACGTGTGTCCTATGACGCATTTACCACATTTTGGAGGTTGACTCATGGGGTCACAGGGGTCAAAATAGCCAAATTAGCGGCTCTAGATGCGAAGACAGTTTTTTACGAATAACTTTTGAAGTAATCAAGCTAGGCCAAAACTTCGAGTACCATCGTAATTCTCTCGTCATTCCGCATCGAAACATATATGTGTTGACCTCGAGAAGTCAAGGTCAAAGGTTGACCTCAAGTCACGTTACCTCAGGTCGCTTGACCTCAAGGTCACGTGATTTCAAGGTCATCATGCATATCATTCGATGCGCCTTGGCGAGCTGAACAGAATGAGGCCATTTGTACGGCTGCACCATTTTTATGTAAGGATTTATTAGCAAAAAACGTTTGGTAATCTTTGATGACGTCACATGCTCTTACAGTTGACCAATCGGAAGTAAGGCATCAAAGTAGTCGAAGTTGGTCATGAATCATGTCATTTATGGTACAATTGACCATGAAAACTCGGCCGTCCCAGCATAGTGACCATGAGCGCACCGGCCAAGTTGCCCCGCTAGTCCCGGCCAAATTACCCCATATTGCCATTCTGGAAATTTTTGTGTATTAAGTCATCACGGCTTTATGGAATTAGATGAAATTGCTCTTGGAACCGCTGAACACCCCCAAGAATGGCGCTATAATGTCTGAATTCGTTTTTAGCCCAAATACTACATGTTATACAACTTTGTAAATAGAAGTAAAAGTTACCATTTTCTAATGAAATTAGCGTTTTATTAATTTTGAATAAAACTACGAGGGGCAAAGTTTTGACATTTGTCCTCCAGTTATTTCTACCCATGATAAATGAATAGAGACTAGAGTTATTTCACTCACTTTTAGTAGACATCGTACAGGTGGGGGCGGCCAATTTACACCACCGGCCAAATTACCCCACTCTCCCCTATTTTTTACTGTGTGCAATTATCACTATCGCCAAGGAAAATAAACGACATCTAAAACCACATCGCACTCATTCACAACACAGTCAAATTCAGCCATCAACCATTGAACCCTCGCGTGCGTCCTTCCGGCCATTACGCTGCCGCTTCCCTCATTCGCCACCGTTCCTCCGCCACCGCCCACTGCCCAGCACACTCCTCCACGAGCAATAACTCATATCGGGGCCCGCGCGGACGGCCGGCGGCCGGTGGATGGGCGCTCGGACGCACCTGGATGGGCCGGGCGGCGGGCCGGCCGGCAGTGCCAGCCAGCTGCGCCCCGGGGCGTGTCCCGCGTACCGCCGCCGCCCCACCCCGCCAGCGCAGATCACAGAGGAAGGGCGGACGTCCGGCCCCACCCCGCTTCCGCTCGGCCGCGCGCACCACCACGGCATGTCGACGACCGACTCAAAAGGACGCCACGCAAGCGAGACGCGATCGAATGCGAGGCTTTCTGCATGGGTGAAATCGAACGGGAGTAGAAAGCTGTCATGGTTTGTGTGGAAAGGATAAATGGGGTGCCAAGCTAACTGTCAATCATTCGCCATAGATTGTCAGGTGAAACATTTGAAACCGACGCTGCTCCTACGGTATAATAATTTTTAAATTAATGATGTTTTCAGTGATATGTGCACTTGCTCTAGGGATATAATTACTTAACAATCATCTAAATTAACTCATCTTTTAGAATATCAACATTATTGGACTATAAATCCTCCAATATTTACTCACCTGTTACCGCTCCCATCACAGCGCCAAATATCACGATCAAGATGCACGATCTCACGGCGATCTCCATGCCTCTCCGCACACCGATCACCGCATCACATTCCTATCCGCGTCACTTCTTCCGGTCTCGTGACGTCACTGAACACCAGGACGGTCCTGTCACGACAATGTCACGCACTCGTCACGGACTCGTCACGAAAGCGACATGGATCCCTCACGACACCTTCACGGTCACCGTCACGAACGCCGAAACGGTAATTCGTTCACGGCTGAGGTCGTGATGAGATGTTCGTGATGGCACGTTACGATTGTATCAGTGTCGCATCTGCACTGAAGACGGACTCACAGTCTTCCGTTGCTTCTGTTACTGCTGTTATACCGGCGGATATATTGCCTCCGCCAGAAGTCGAGCTGGTTTTGTTCGTTGTTATTCCTCTGCCGTCCTGCGCCGTCAGAAAAACCGTTGCTGCCGTTTCCGTTTCTGCCTTGGTAATCACTGGCTGCGGTACAGCTGCTGATGTGTTTGCAGCGCTGTTTTCCGGGCACGTGCCGATGTGTTTCAGCTCCAGCGCGCCACTGCCCTGTCAGCACACCTCTTTGGACTGTCGACGGTGAACGGTCGACGGCGGTCGGTGGGCCCGTCGGCCGGCACGTTCCCGTGGTACTGGTCGGTAGCTCGTGCCGGCCGCCCCCGGCTGGGCTGGCCGGCCGCGCCGCTAGCGCCGACCGCGGCCGGCCAATGAAACTGGCCACAGCTCGACAATTAGGGGAGAAGGTGGGGTCAGAGGAAGGGGTGCAGTTTTGTTATGGGAAGTCCTTTGGCGAAGAAGACTTTGCCGTATTGTATTGCATCTGAAAACTCTGGGCGGATATTATGGGTGACACGTGTCTTCGAGCTATCTAGCGATGCAATGCAACTTTTCGTATTGCTATATATTACGCACCGACTAAAATCTATCGCCCCTACGCTAATGAGCTCAACAGTTTTCAATATGTTTTTCGTCTTAAATCGGCCTGCGATATATCACCTTTGGTGAATATCGGACAGTGAGATTGGCCGATCAGTGCGTTTTACTTCAACTTCTAATGTCTATGCCATTTTTGTCACGACGGACACAAAACCATAAAATAATTAGTGCAGAAAGCAATTGCAACAACCGAAAATATTGGTATTCCGTCCTGGATACAAAAGCTGTGGTACCCACTATTCTCAACCTAAATTGATCTTGCCTTCCTTAGGTACTGCCGAGTGCCGACAACATTTGCTGAGCTCATCTGCGCTGGCCGGAGAATGCGGTATCCAAACCGCTAACTGTTCGCTCTAAAAACACCACCGAGGCGGGCCGAACCCGATCTGGGCCCGGGCAAGGCCGGTCTGAAGACAAAAACGGCGCAGACCACCGGCGGCGCGGCGCTTAAAGCGACGCACCGCGGCGCGTGACCGCCTCTTTTGTCACGCGCTGGAGCTCGTCACGACACGGCTGTCCTCTAAGGTGTCCACAAGCACCACGCAGGTCAACACACAGGTGTCGCGACCAGCGATAATTTCTTTGGGGGTGCAAAGTGTCATGCAAGGGGCGGGATGTATTGTGAAGCTTTGGTCCAAGAAGCGTGACTGCGATGCATTATGTTTAATTCGTTTGTTTCTATAATTCGCTTGCATGCCTCGTCTTTTATTTGCATGTGCATGTTATGCTTATTTTTGGCCTGCCATCCCTGCCTGCCCCTTTCATTTCACAAAGTTTTTGTTTGCCTAAGTGGGATGGTGTTTAATCATGGTAATTACCACCTTGGTGATTGCTTACAGTGGTAATTATAGGGTGAATGCTTATCTATAGCGCTAATATACTTGACTAATAAGGTATTGCTTATGGTTGTTGACATTTTTAAAGATAACAAAGGTTGTGAAATTCGTGCTTAAAAATCCATACTGATATGTCGCGTTTTGAGAAGATTGACGCACATCTTTTAACTTCAACCAACAGCTGTTACAAATCGATATACGTACTGGTAATTCGTATTTATTCGCCCTGATCGTCATCTATTTAACAGTGCTTATACGTATTCAAGGCACGTTTGCAGTAAGCTGTCCCCGCCCCTCCATCTGTATAGCTCCCAGCACTTCAACTGGCGCCTGATTGGCGCCTGATGCCACTCACCAACAGTGAAATACCATCCATCCCATGGGACAGGTGCCCCATTCTGGCAGAGCATTCCACTCTGAACGTCCGATCCTACATACGAGTACTATCGGCTCTGCAGAGCGTCAATCTCGGCGCCATCGCTCCATTCAGCACGTCATTGTCCCCCGCTCTGCACTGTGCTGTGCAGTGCACACAGACAGACACACACACAGACAGACAGACAGACAAGGGGCGGTACCCGGCCTGGATTTGGGCCCTGACCGTAATGGGAGGAGGGGTCGGCTGACGGGAGGAGGGGTGCACTGGTTCAGCCGGAGGGGTGGGTGGGGAGAGGGTTTGACACGGGTTAATATTGGGGAGGGGGTGCCGCTGCAAGCCTTTCGTCCTCGCTCTGGTCGTGAACATGAGTTCCTATGCATTTTGTTCTCATGGTGTTACGTTTTTTTCGTGATTTTACTGTTTCATTGGGGCTTATTGCAGTGAATTTACACACTCTTGGTATTGCGAATATAATCAACCCTTCTCACGATTGTAAACTAGAGAGCTCGCACGCTCAATGCCATGAGAAACAGTGTCCGACTTGACCCAGGAATTTACCTGAGATTTTTTTCAATCATGACTCTCCCTGAATATCGAAGCTAATCTTGGGTCTTTGATATGAAAGCATTTCGTCTCTCAGTAAGCAACACTCGCCATTTATCTATCATGCTAATAAACCATCACGGGCCGTTCGTTCGGTAGTTATGCCGGTCCTTGTCGTTCGGTTCCTCTTCCTGAACCCTCAGTCGCGGCCGGCCGTCTCTATCCGTCCGCCGGCCGTACCGGTTCGATCCATCTTGTGCAGTGAGGCATTCACTGCGCCGGCCGGCGACGCCCTTCCGCGACCAGTCATGCCATTAGTGGAGGTCGCGATGGCACGATACTGACGCGACGCAGCACCTCCGCTGGACGAACGCCGGTGATCCGCCACCGGCCGAAGAAAAATGAACTCGGCCGGAAAGAACATGGGAATATCGCTACCGAATATGTACATGAGCTGATTGGGCCTCGGTGGCTATCGAAAAGTGTCAGGTCGACGCCGATAACGCGTTTGTCTTTCGCTGGGCGGGAGGGCTCCGGCCCGGCGGCAGTTTGGGGCGCACTTTGCTTGTCATGGAGGGCGGGGTTGACCGTGACCAAGGCAGCGGAGAAGAAATGTGCAGTCGGGCTGCCGGGGCAGATTCAGTAATGCGCCGGTATCCAATTAGTGGTTGACTGCAGGGCGGCCGTCAATGCATTCATAGCTAACAGCAGTGGCACTGATGCTTTGATGAGGCCACAGTCGCTGATGTGACGCCTAAGGGGCACTATTCAGTGGAGATGGATAGGCATGTTATCACGAACCAAACCGCCCTGCGTAATGATACAAATTTTAAGTCATGAAGGCCAGGGATTAGTAGGTGCCCTCGCTGGAAAGCATGCGCTCATGGCGTTGCGGAAATGCAATTAGAGTTAACAGTTACTCTGACCGATGCAAAATAGGTACACCCGAATGTAAGTTACTGTTTTTTTTATCTTGGCTTGTTTCTGTAACCTATTTGACTGATTTGATCATCTCAGTCTATCGATTAAAAGCGTTGATATGAGGCTGGCTGTCGTAACAAGGATTTGTCGTAATTTATGAAACCATGTCCCGTCGCACTGGCATGTGCTGTCACCAACCGGCAATCAAGACGAATCACCACGACATTTGAGAGCTCAGAGCCGCGGGCCTCATGCCGGGTGTTCGCCGATTTCCCGTCATCCGCGTTTGTCATCTCTTGCGGAACTGCGCACCAGATGGTCGGCGATAAAACGACACGGAGAGTCTCCTTTTCACGGAAAATCGCGACGATTCTTCCTCTCTGCTTCCCCGGGTGGCCGATGGGCGACTGGTCTCTTAGGAGTACCGCTAACCGGTCGATATGTCGTGCGGAATACGGAGTAGCCACCGAGGACTCAACACGAGATTCCAATTACCTTTATGGTCGCCAAAATGCGTTTCACTAGGATGCCTTTGTCGATTGGACAAGAGAATTTCCGCTGGAACATCAAAGAGGATTGCACGGTAGCGAATGGCATGCATGACAAACGTGAAAATAATATTAGGACAGATACACCGTGATCGATTCGCGTGAGGATGCCTTTGCGTTCAGATTAAAATAGTTCGATGACGTTGATATGGTCCTGGCTCGTGCTGCGCTTTGCTGCCCTGCACGTGCCGGCGCGTTCCTCAGTTTTTATCCGTGCTCCTCTGAATAGTGTCGGGTAGCCCGGAGAGTAGCGGAGCGGAGGAACCTCCGGGGTGCCCATCCGGGCGTGACCTGGCTGCTCCTGCGAGGCGTAATTACAATCGAGTTCGGACCAAGGCGTCCAACACCGTCCATAAATCAATTATAATTGGTAATGAGGGAGGAAGTACTTCTGCTTCTGACAACAGGGGGCGCCACCGTCGGCGAAAATGGAGCCGCCGGCCCGAGGGGACGCCCGCGAGCGGCGGTGTTTGGTTGATGAGTGGTCATTGTGTGTTTGGTGCGGAGATCAAGGTCGGTCCTCCCCCACTGTGCCGGCGAGGCCACGGTGCGGGGTCTGGCGACGGTAAGGAACTCAGTCGCTCACATTTGGTAGACATGCCGGTCGGAGCCACGGCATTTGCTAATATCACGTCATTAATCGGAACGACCATAGAGACCTAACATAAGATCTCTATGGGAGCGTTGGGGAACATACGAACCTCCCGGCTATCTATATGCGCTTTACCGTTGCGTGCGCGTCGTGACCCGTCAGGAATCGAGACACGAAGAACAGAGATTTAAGCTGGCCTAATCCTGAGTGATGAGCAAAGTTAGAGAGACGCCCGGTCTCGACAATGATCTGCAGCCTGTGCTAGACATAAAGAGGGTTACCTGTGTTGATCGAAACCGTCTTCTCGACTCCGGACATGCCGTCTGACCCAGAGATCAGGGACAAAGCCTGGCCAGATCAGAGTCTTTTGTTGGCGATTTCCTTTCTGTTTCAGATTAGGCATGCTCCAGTAAGACCACTGAAGGGCAAGGTGAATGGTATTGTTAGACGGCTCTCCCGGATGTGCCAGCTGCAATGTCAAGGCTGCTTTCACTGGGCTGACACTGATAAATTACCCTTGATGCCTTAGCACAATGTTTGAGAGCATCCGCTTCAGTCGCTGATTAAGCGCATCTCAAGGAGAAAATGGACACTCTGAAAGTTGAAACCTTTCAATTCTGATTTCTTAGAACAGCAGTAGATGTGTGGTTGTTTCCTTCGAATACACCTAAATTCAGCGACGGAATGAAAGCCGGATGGAAACCGGAAGCACCGAAAGGTAGTAATAAGTCAAAAATGTATGCGGCAACTGAACAAGTTATAAACAATTTATTGGCAGATTGTCATTTCCGTGGTCAGCCTTTATGTAGGAAATAAGGCAGGGGCTCTGCCGCCGTCTGAAAACCAATATGTCTCTCGCAACCAGAACTCATATTTGCT